ACCTTTTTTGAGATTTTCTATTTAATTGCTTATAAGTGTGTTAAAGTTTCCATGTTAGCGAGTCTGCTGCAGTTGTGCTTCAAGTGATGGAAATGTTATCATCAGAGGGTGACGAGTGTTTCGTGATCGCTTGTACCCGACTGTGGAGACTTTACAATACAGCTACTAGAACTATAGCAGGAGTGACTGCTTGGATGTGGAGTCTCCTGTCTCTGTGTAAACACCACTTTAGAAGGAAATCAGCTGATGTTTTCTGTCACTGACGTAAACCAATCTTTGGGGATTGGGGTTGAGCTACCATTACGCTTGAAAAAGTGTTATTTTCTGTCCAGCTGAATAAATGAAAATTATGATCTACCGATGAGTGTGCATGTGGTTATTAATAAAGAGGTCAGTATTGCAGGAATTCTGCTTAAATAACATCTTTCCTCCCTCTACTCTTCATCTTACTGTCACACACAAAACGCCGCACGAGTTGTCTCCGCTTATCGTCTTTGAGGTGGAAGCTTTGTCTGTGTCGGCCTTAATGAGAGGGGAAGGAGACACTTTCTGCTCCTCACCTCCCGCCTGCTTGATGGCAGTCTATTAGGCAGCGCAGGTCAGACAGCTCATTCACTAAATGAGGGTCTGTTTCTGGGGTCAGATGCTGGCTGCCCTTTGATTCATGGGAATAAGTTAGATTGCAGAAATCAAGCTCTGCGTGGTTATGGCATTGAGTGGTACAGTGTAAATACGTGTGAGCAGGTAGAGCTGAAAGATCTTAATCGACCGGGTCACCGAGACCTCAGCGCGGGTTTGTGACACGCTGACATCTGAGCCAAGAATAGAAACCTCAATATTTGACTTGCTAATAGTCATTACTGAGGATCACCTTATTGCTCTTGAAGAGCCCTACTGGTCTTTTAATGGCAGCATAATACTGGAGCAGACATTAAGCATCAGGCCTTGCACAAAATCTAACTTTTACTCTGGTATTCTGTCAGTTTAATGGTGACCAAGGCATAGGAATAACAAGTACTACATACAGTTATTCATTAATGGAAACCCGTATTGAAACGTTTAATGGATAATTATTTATGTAAAGAAGCATTTCATTTTAAGTCTGAGCAGAAATTGTAAAAACACCCAGCATTCGTGTGGATCCATGTAAAATGTCAGCTGAAGACGATAAAGGGACTTAATGGGACAGAAATGAACATCTCCCGTTATTTGCTCTTTAACCAAAATGCATACAAATCATTGTGAGGCGTACGTGCAGATAATAAGCGAAGAAGGTCATTCCTTTAGAAAATACGACAGGTTGGGAGGACTTTTGAAAAGCTAAAACCTTTCGATGGTTCCCAAAGTGTTTGTACTTGACACCATTCTTGTCGAGAAGAGCGTCACTTGTGAAGTCTCAGCACTCAAAGCCGTACTAATCAGTGCTTGTATGGAATTAATTAGCACCAAACACTTTTGTAAAATGTTTTACTGTCTCAACTAAGCGTTTTAGCCTCTTTCAGCTAGTTGTTTTTTTTTTGTCTTGCAGTGTGCGGTTTTCCCGTTCAGCAGCTAAAGAGAAAAAGATTGTGTAGGGATGCAAATGTAGCTTGATTTAGACACAAAATTGCAAAACTTGATGATGCTGGTTTGTGTTTCTTCATTTTATTTAGGTTTATCCTCATTCTCCAAAATGTACCAGAGGAAACAAAGAAATGCTCATTTTGAAGAATAACCTTTGAATATTAGCCAGTGCAGACCTGATGTAACAAAAAGAGGTAACCATCAGCTACTGCCATGGAGAAAAGTCATTAAGGATGCGGACAGGAACAGACAAGAAGGCTGATTTTGGCCAGTACTGTTTTTTGTTTGATGTATGGGTGCATTTTCAGCAAAGCTGAGCAAAAATAAAGTGAAGTATTAGTGTTTCATTATCACCTT